ATGCTCGTTTCAGGGATTCTGGCCCCACTCTCCCTTGTGGAGGCTCCTGCTCCCCCTCAGGCCCTGCCTTTCCTGGTCCACGGTCCGCTGATCATTTTCCATCCTCCACACCAACTCTACTCCAACTGGAACAGCGCACAGCAAACTTCTGCCTCATCCGTGTTGTCCTGATGAGGCCTTGCTCCCCGCTGGGCATGAAATCCTGGGGGCGACCTTGCCGGGGTCACAGCAGGCCCCACCTTGTGTGTCTCTGTCAGGAGGGCAACACAAATACAAGGATACGGGATTGTCATTGTATTTTCATTCATACAAAATTTTAAAAGAGAAAAGTTCATTATTTGTAAGACTCATGCTATGAATAAGTAGTAAAATAAAAAAGCTTAGCTTAGTCTGTGTGTGCCATTTGAAATATCAATTGTCCTTTATCAGAGAAAACAAAGGTTTTTGTCAGTCACAACCAATAACACGTCTTTGGAAATATATTTTCTTTTTTACTGTTTTATGATGTAAAGAAACTGAATCATTTAAAAATTGTATATATGGCAACAGTTTGCAAAGTGAAATTGGAAATTAAAAACGACCCTGTTGCCTCATAATTAATTAATTCAAAGGATACAACTGTTTTGTACCCGACACAAACTGCTTGATCTTATTATGGATGGAATTGCTCTGGACATTCAGGGTTAACTGTTAACCAACGCACTCTGGTCTGGCTTATGTGCAAATGCTCCACCGACTTTACTCCTGGCTTGAAATAACCCTCTGCCTATAAACATGGTCATACCACAGGATTTCCTTCTAAGAGACATGAATCCTACTGCATGCTTCACTCTCCACAGATCCTACCTTCCAGTTTTATCATTTCCTTTGTTCGTAGTCAAGATATACGAAGTGCCTCATGTAACTAGCAATTATTCCATCTTATTTAGACTTAAATATTTTCCTCTCTCTTCCTGAGTACTCAGAATCCAGGTGAATAACGCAGCCTATTTGTTATGTTTTGATCACAGATTCATTTCACTGCACATTCATGTGCTCAGCATTTCTTATCTGGGGCCACATTATTTCATGACTGCATAATTTTGACTGTAATGTGTGAAACAACAAAGATAACACTGTCAACTCCTCTCTGAAAAGTTCACTGTGGCAGATATTTTATATTGGAAACCTGGAAAATATCCACTCTTACAAGCTCTGTTATATTTTGTACTGAGGGCAGTGGTGGAAACTTATTTTTAAAAACTTCTACATGCTATTAACCTTAATCAGCCTATGGACATCAATAAAGTTATTTTCTGTGAGAAAATTATAAACACAGACATTTCCTAGGCTGGTGACTGACAGAGTAACACTAGCCACCTCTCGTAATTCTCTGACCTACACAGGAGCTGTTTGGAGAGGCAGATATGGAACACGGGATTGGACTGAATGTAGATCTCACACAATTGCGATTAATGGGGTGCTGTGGAGGGGTACAGCAAATATATAACACTCTGCCTCACCCAGGGCTGAGTGTGCTGTGTTCACAAATAATATTATTAAGAAAATGGTGAAAAAAGCAATTTATATACTAATTTTTTAAAAGATTAAGACCCATATTTTGGTACAGTGTAGTACTTTGCCATGAATCGATCTGAAATCAACTTATATCAAGTGCCTCATAATGTATTGGGAATTAAAATCAGATTTAGTAACACCAAAGCCACACACTCACACACATAACAGAACTTGGTACTGACCAGCACTCAGAGACCAGGACTACACAGTATTCAATGATTGCGATATTTCCACTGACATTATTACTCTGTTATTAGGATTAGTGCTCTTTCTGGATTCTGTAGGTACACATTTGAACAATATTGCTAACAGGGAGAGAAGTTGAGAATATGACAGAATATCAGCGAATAAAATGCAACGGAATTCACTTGTGTGGCTCAGAATTGTGCAATGGACTCACACCCGCTGAGATCTTCTCTGAGGGAGGAGGAGGCAGTGTATCCGGGAGAGGGCCCAGTCAGGTTCTCCCGTGATCACATCCACGGATGGCTGTGAGGGGCAGAGCTGTGCTCCTCGCATTAGAGGTGGTCACCCGTCTGCTCAAACTCGCTTTTACCGGCCACTGACACTTCTCAGTGCTTTGCCCTGTGACTCTTTGGAATACTCTGTATAATTTGTGAAACTGTGGTACAGTGTGTTTTCCAGAGAAAAACTAGGGATTTATCCCGAAGTCCCTGAAATGCCCTCCCATCTTCCGAAGTTCCTTGCCAAGGCAAAGGGACACTGGCAGTGAACAGGACCTGAGATGCAGTGTTGGCCCAGAGCTGTCTGCCTTCTCCCAGACGGGGCTCTAGCATGCCCGTCCTCCAGTGGGAAGGCTCTGCCTGGCCCTAGGACTGCTGGGCCTACCAGGGGACACACAAACCAGTGACCCCTGTGAGGCTTGCTTTGGTCTGCAGCAGCCTCCCTCTGGGTCAGGCTGTGGGACAGGCACGGGCTTCCCTCAGGGCTCCGCTGCACTTCCCGTGTTCTCCAGCACTTTCCCTGTGCAGCCCCAGCCCCTGTCCCTGCCCACCAGGACTCCAGCCAACTGCAGTGGACATGCTGAGTGCCCTGGGTTTGCTGTCCTGTCCAGCCTGCCACACTCGGTCCCATGCTCTCCTGCTAGACACTCGTGGGACGTCTCCCTCACAGTGACAGCGGGAATTGTCTCCATCTCCCTGTATCCTGGCAGGGACAGCAGACTGTGGGCCTGGCCCAAGCTGACCCCACCTGCAATGTGACTGGGTCCCAGGGTGACATCGATGCATCCCAGCTGAGGTGCGTCTGCCCAGTCAGTGCCCCCGAGGTGAGTGTCACCACCACGAGCAGAGCTCTATCCTGAAACGAAATCCCACCCTGTGTTTATCCTCTGTGCTCCTGCCCTGCATGCCTTGTCATCTCCATGCTCCTCCTCCCTAAGTGCCTCTCCCGCCCAAGTCTCCCCTCCTCTGGCTTTCCTGTGTGGCCCTGATGGCTGGAAACACCTCCACTTCCCTGTCAGGCACACAGCACCCACGTGGCCTCACCGCTCCTGCATCAAACCTTACATTCTCAGCACTCTGCAGAAGCAGGACTCTGACTCCACTCAGCCTTGGACACCTGGGCACTGGTGGGAACCGCAGACGCAGACCTTCCTCCTGCCATGGCCTTGCTTTTCCCTGCAGGGCAAAGAGGATCTGGGCTCCTAAAGTGGATTTGTGTCATCCCAAAGGGAGAAGCCCCCAGAGACTCTGACCCAGACGGCTGGAGCCACCAGGCCATTTCTGCTGACCAAGGGGCACCACAGCCCTCTGGGGCTCTCAAATCATCCCTCGCCTCTAGTGCTCACCTTAAAGCCACTTCTCAGTTTACTGATGGAAATACATTTACAATCCATATTTGGCCTTCATAGGACACAAGTTGATAGGAAAAAGGCTGGCACACCCAAGCATCACACATAGTTGTGTTTTGTGAATGCAACAGTGCAGGTATAATTATTAAACAAAGATACTTCACACAATATAGTTTTATTGTCCATGGTCCTACTCTGTACATTACTCCTGTAAACCTGTATACCTCTGTGTCATAAAATTTCCTACCTAATGCTTGCATCATACAGTGCACAGAACCAAATTCTCTCTGCTCATGCACTGGGGATTTTGAAAGTATGTCCTTGATGGAGGAGAAGACAGCAATAGCCCAGCGGTTTGGAGAAGGTGGGGCATGTGCATGTGGTGATCAGAAGATATTCAGCTTTTCTTTGTTTTTGCCTACAAGGCAAAGTTGTAGCAATGAGACATTGAACCAAAGAAGGCTAAAAATACTGCTTCTTAATTTGCTATTTTCAGTAAAGGCCAGCAAGAATAAGATGAATTCAACCAAGAGTTAGCACACCAGGACATATAAGCACCACAGAAAAAGATATGTCTGCTGCCATGTGCCACACGTGTTGCCCACCAAGCATTATAACTCAACACCCTGAGAGTCTGGGCTCCTGTGTGCAGGGTTTATGCAATGCACAGTACTCACTAGGAGGGGAAAGGTCCTGTGAACTCCTCTTCCCAGACCCAATCTGAGATTAACTGTGATGTCAGGATGGGGCAGGAAAGGAGTACGGAAGTGGATATGTGGGGAAGGGCACTGAGTCATTAGCTGTGGGGCGAGGTCAGGTCTCTGGAATCTGTCCAGAAGATGAACGTGATGTTTGCCAATACGTGTTCAAATACACACCTAATTTCATAAGAGCAGATGATATTCAGGACGTCTAAAAGCCAAGGAAACTGTCTATCTATAGTTGAATCTGTACATAAAATATTTTACTGTTTAAAGAAGTATGAATCAAACTTAGAAAGAGTCTGGAGTAATAAAATTAAATTTAATGGCCCTCTTCCTTGTATAGAAAATTTTAATTTCATTGTTGTTGGCTAGAAAATTATTGTAATGTATATTATAAGTGATACAATTTGCATGACTTATTACAAGTTGTCTATGAAATGATGATGAGATCTGAGTGCGTATTCCACAGAAGTTGGAAATGCAGACATGGTAACAATTCATATTTCACAGGGCTGGGGATGTATCACAGTGACAACATGCCTGGCTCTCGTGTGTTAGGTTTTAAGTATGATCTCAGTAATGAAAAAAAATAGTATTTATATTTCACCTATGAGCTGGAGTTAGTGATTCTTGAAACATGTTGCATTGTAGATCTTATAAGTTTAGTGGAAGTTACTAGAAATCACCTTTTATGACCTTTTACATCAGAATTAGTAAGAGAAAAGGATGATGACATTATTAGAGGTTGGCATTTGCAAAAATGATATATTTCTTACTTAGTTTTTCTCAACAACGTTTCTCAACAATGTGTTTATTTTGAATGCAACAAAGGAGCTTTGATTATCTTTCCAACCAAACATAGTGAATGTCCCACAGTAACAAGATATAAAGAAAGGAGAAAAACCAAAGTAGAGCCTATTTCCCTTTCATTTGTTAGCCATGGGAATATGTTTGATGATGTTACTGACAGCCTGAAGAACATCTTTATTCCTGAAGCTGTAGATGACAGGGTTGAGGGTGGGTGTGAGAATGGTGTAGAATGTGGCCAAGAACTTATCCTGGCCTGGAGTGCGGTAGGACTTGGGTCTCATGTATGTGAAAATAGATGGCCCATAGAACATGACAACCACAGCCATGTGGAAGGAACAGGTGGAAAATGATTTTTTCTGGGCCTCTGAGGATTTGATTTGTAAGACAGTGTGCAAAATTCTGACATAAGATACAGAGATCAGGGAGAAAGGGATCAACAAGAAAATAACAGCACTTACATCAACTCCTTGCTCATAGTGTGAAATGTCCACACAGGACAACTTCAGCATGGCGGGAACTTCACAGAAGAAATGAACAATAGCCCTTGAGTGACAGAAGGGAAAGTGGAGCACATAGGCTGTGTGGATTACGGAGTTGAGGGTCCCCACCAGCCAGGCCCCGGCTGCCATGAGCACACAGAGTCTGTCACTCATCAGAGCGGCATAGCGCAGGGGGTAGCAGATGGCCACATAGCGATCATAGGACATGGCAGCCAGCAGAAGGCACTCGCCACCCAGCAGGACGATGGATATGAAGATCTGGAATCCACAGCCTGTGAAGGAGATGGTTCTGCTGCCAGACAGGAAGTTGGCGATCATTTTGGGGACGATGTTGGAAATGTGCAAGATGTCCATGAAGGAGAGGTGGCTGAGCAGGAAGTACATTGGGGAGTGGAGGCGGGAGTCCCCGTGGATGAGGAGGATCAGGAGGGCGTTTTCTGTGACAGTCAGGATGAAAAGGATGCACAGAGAGGAGAAGAAGACCAGGCTGGTGCGGGAGGAAGAGAACAGTCCCAGAAGGATGAAATCCCTGCTGGAAGTCTGATTCTCAGGGCTCATGCTGCATTTCTGTGTTTTATCTAAAGATAAAATATAAAGATGAAAAGTAGATGAATCCCAAAATTGTTCCCATGAGCTTATGTAGCAAAATGAGAATTGCTGAAGTATTTTACATGAGTATCAATGGTCTAACAGAGCGTTTCATGAATGCCAAGCTTTACAAGATGAGCATTCATGGGCATCAGTCACCTGAGAGAGTGAGGAGGTGGAATCTGCCCTGGGCTCTGCATGGAGACTCAAGGTCGTGGTGAATTCTGGGAACTTTGCTCCGCTTGTCTCTCCAGTGTGTCCTGTAGTGGGCCCTCCCTGCACACCTGTGAAAGCCTGGAGCCCTCACCTTCCTGGTCCTCCATCCCTTCTCCATTTCACATTTTGCCTGTTTCATCCCACCTTCCATCATGTTAAATAACAAACACGAGTTGGGCCTGCCCTTCACTGTCATTCTCCCACCCACAGTTATAGAATATCTTTGCCCCATTCACTGATGGAAGCCAAGTGCCTGAAGTGTTGCCTGGTTCCTAAGCGTGTTCTGTGTTATCTGTCTGATTAATGAACAGAATGAGTTGATCAGATGAAGGAGGTTTTCTCTGGAGCCTGTGATATGGAGAGTACTACTGCTGTCCCCATGCTCTGATCCTACTATCAGAGCGAATAACATCTTTCCTGATTTGTTCACCTGTCGATGCATGTATGTGCACTGTATGCAAGGTGTAGCTGTTAGGAGCTCAGTGCTGCAGACATGGATATGCATGTATGCCCGTGTGCTGATTGTGCCTCTCAAGAAGGTATCTAGAAGGGGAAATAGCTGGGCCAAATCGAATTTCTATTTTCAGTGTTTTACAGAACCACGCATTGAACGTCATACAGGTTGTACTATGTCACATTCCACCAATGATGCGGGCCGTTCATTTAAAAGGATAATTAACTTGAAGCATTAAAACGTAAGTGGATGCAGCTTGAGAACAACATTAAGGGAAATAAGTCAGACACATAAGCTTAAGTATCTGTTTTCTCTCTTATGTGAGAAAAATATATATGCAAAGACAGAAGGGACAAAATAGAAGAAAGATAAAAGGAAGTAGAAAGAAGTTCAAATAATTCTCCTAATTATCTATTGCATTGTTTGAAAAATAGTTTATATGGAAATTTATTCCATTTATATTAGAATTACTTTTAATTTAGCAAAAAGAAAGTTTTTCATTTTATCTGTTATGTTTTGTGAGACAGAATCTTATTTGTCAATGTCTTATATTGTAAAGAACTACATTGAAGATTATGATACACTGTGTTTTATCTGTTGTTGTTCTCTTATTTTGCTATGAAATTTTGTTTTATTTTCTTCACAAAATAAATTTTTAAAAAGTGAGCAAGTAAATATATATTGAGGAGAAGGAGCTGAATTTTCTAAATACATTGTTCAAATCAAAACTCTTAGGAATTTAAATGTAGTAATTCTAAGAAATCAAAAATGGTAAGTGATAAAATGTTATAAAATGTTTACAGTGTTAAACATACTTGCATATAAGAAATCATGTATATTTAATCAAAATAACAGTACATGTTAAATATTTTAATTTTGTTCTTTTTATGCTACACAAATTTAAATTGTACTGCATTTTTGTGGGGAATCCTAAATTTTCATGTTACTCATGCTTACAGTATTCATTAAACATACGATGAATTTTTCACATCTTCTGCGTCTGTGATGTCTGCCTTTATACATATTTATGTGCATGCATATATTCACAGAAAATAATTGAATATAAAATACGCTAATCTAGAGACCTGTCCTTCAGTATCTGTTCTGATCACCAAAATTAATAACAAATATTGGACACTTATTTTACAGTGATTCATGAATTTAGATTTAATAAACTTCAGTTTTACTGTTTCTGAATTGGATGTGCAGTTTATGTTACTGAAATACATAAATGCTGCGGGTGTTTAGCTGTATTTAGGGTGTGTACCTGGGATTCTTCCTTGCAGACCTCAGGCTTGTTTTTTCCTGCATGTGAGCCGAGGCTTGCTCTGGGCTTCAGGGTCTGGAGAGCAGCGTCTGAGTGAGGTGCAGACTGGAGCAAGTGCCCGGCCTCTGACCCTTGCTCTGGCAGTGGGATCGGGGACACATGTGGGACGTGAGCGGCACTGTGCCTCGTGTAACCCGGTGACCACAAGCGGATTTTCAAAATGGGTGGCTTTGGCTGACAACACTAAGTCAGCAGTGTTTACTCACAGTTGCTAACTTTCCCTCGCTCACTCGAGCCATATTACCCTCCTGGTTTTTCTTTGTCAGTAAATTATTTACTCCATTGCAGTCCTTCCAGGTGCCTTCAGCAATGATTTCCCAACCGTTACAGAATCCCTGGCTCATAGTGAGGCCCATTAGATGCTTATTATCATTTAATACTTCGTATTATACCATAACTCACTTCCTATAAAGGCACAGCATAAGAGCAACTCACGTCTTCATCAATTCTCCCTCTTCGGCCCTTTACACAGGTTGATGTTTTTGTAGCGTTCTTTTTTTCTACACTGCTATATCTGTGTGTTCTTGTCGTTGAAAACAATCCGTAAGTTATTTCTTACTGCACTCGGGACCTTGTGCCATCACACGCATGCTTCTGTGGGGCATCTGAAGTCCACTCCGTCATGTTTCACTTCACTTTGCACAGTCTCTATGGCCCTTGAGTCACCCCACACCGATAGAAGTATTAAATTGTATCCCCAGTGCCAGCCAAGAGTTCATCTGAGCTTTGGGTAAAACCCACACCGGAATCCAAGTGCAGCGCTTGCCAGTGTGACTCTTACCCCTGAGAAAAGCACTGCCATATAACATGTGCGGAACTCTTCCCAAGGAAATTGTTTCCCCGTCCGGGTCCAAATGTGGCTTGTTACTAGCACTGATGGTGGAACGTGGCTGAAACGCACACCTCCCACCCGTGTCTTCTCCATGAGATTTGGGGCCAATCAGAGAAAGTGCTTTCCCATTGTATCCTTATCCCTTTGAAAAATTCTTTGAATTCATGGTGTCTGAGAAGTTCTTATGGCTCTGAAAAGTCTCTCCATGTCTTTATGTTTAAGTAAGGTTTTACAGATTGGAAGAGACACTAGGTTCAGTCTAAAGTGATACCAGCATACGTTATCAACTATGTAAACTATTTATTTCAAAATTAAAATTGCCATTTTACCTTTGGGAAATAAGCCTCTGATTGAGGAGTAAGAATTATACATCAGAGAACAACAATGTACTATTTTCAAATGCATTTTTTGAGCCAATAGCACAATTCCTCAGCTAGACACTCTTATTACATCTATTATACCTCATTTCACGTGGACGACTTCCAGCAAAGCCATGACTTTATTCCACACTATTATGGCAACTCAGGTTTACTTCTGTTTCTCATGTTATGTTGCAGTGTATGTGAAAGAAGTTCAGTACCTTTAACAAGCTTTTCAAATCAGTTGGTCACAATGCAGTAAGTACGACGCTTGAAATTTTTATGAAAGATCTTATAATGTTGATTTGCAGCATTACCTTGATTCATGTAGACCATTTCATAGGAAGAGAGTTTAATACAATGAAATGTAGCGGCGCACAATCATTTTATCTATGTACATACTATGGCTTTTAAATGTACGTATGTGGTTATTACGGTATTTATATTAAAGAGGCAGAAAAAGACAGAGATAGAGAGACCTAGACAGAGAGACAGGGACAGAGGGAGGAGAGCAAAAAGGAGGTTATTTGTGCTCGAGAGAGAGAGGGAGAGAGAGGGAAACAGGGAGAGGCAGAGGGAGGACAGAGGGAGCGGGTGTGACTTAGGCCCCCTCCCTGCTCAGCCCAGCTCCTCAGCTGGTTTGTTCTGCCAGCCTCACTGTTTGACCCACGTGGATGAAATGACCCAGGACGTGACCTCTCTGTTCCTCTTTGGGAAGCAAACTGTCCCTGGCCAGGACTGGGCACAGGCTCCATTAACCATCAGCCCACTGGGAATCGAGTCCTAGCTGTGGACACCGCCACTCCCTCACGTCCTAGTGCACCCCTCAGTCACGGGCTGCACACACCCTGACTCTGTCAATAATTCGGTAGTCATGTGAGTGCTTAAAATAGTCCACATGTTTATCAACTTAGTGATAATCAGAAAATTTTATTAGAGATATCTACTATGGTTAAATCACATAACATACACTTTTAGTAAGGGGCCCTGTTCACTAGTATTGTTTCAACTGCACAATAAAAATGTTCATTTGTTTTTGTAGGATCATAGGATAATTTCTTTAAAAAACTTTTACTGTAAGTCAAGTAAAAGATAAAATAGCGTAAAATTGACTTTTTTAAATGATTTGCTTCAAAATATCAGATAGGAAATTCCTGGAACATAATACATTTACCTGAATATTGTAAATTATAAGAGATTGTACTCTCAGTTTGTGAATTTCAGTAAACTTTCTATATCAGTGAACTACGTGGCACAATCACTGTAACTTCTGTCATAAAAATTTCACATATAAGACTTACTAGGAAAATCAGCAAATGACTGAAACACTTACTTTTAGTAGTAACACAAACAGAGGCACGACAGACCCAGGAGAGAAGCAGAAATCATACCCTGAATGGACACACTGTGGGTGAATAAGGCCAGTTATTTTTAAATACTCGATACAGAATATTGTGTAATAGATATGACCCAGATCTAGCCTGGGAAATGGAGAATCATTCCCACTGAAGTTATGTTTCAAAAATAAAAATTATCTGTTTCTTATTTCTTTGATAAAAGACAAATGAGCGCTTTATATACATCACAATAGACAGAAAACACAATGTACTTCCTATGAGCACAACACACTGATCAGTTATGAACTACACCTGCAAAGAATTTCTATTAAACAGTGACAAAGAATCAATCCTCCCTTGCACCCAGGAGGCAACAGGCTGTGCCTGAGGGCTGCTGTCAGGAAGAAACAGAGGTAGCATGAAGTTCTAGGGAGAGCCCACCCTGCACAGTGAGCTCAGAACAGAGCTGCACAATGCCCTGACCGTGCTGCCAGTCTTTCTGCAGCTGCCCTGCTTGGCCTCTTATCTCTGAGTTCTCAGAACATGGAATTAAGTCTTTATCTACCAGAGAGAACATTTAAAGAGGAAGGAGGAAACAAAATACGAAGACTGGGTAAGGAGACTCAGGCTGAAATGCAATAAAACCAAGTAATACAAGTATAACTCAATGGGGAGGAAGTACCTTCTTCAGGGTTTCAGCAAGAGGGGACATCATGGCTCCTCTAATTTTCAGCCAACCCTGCTGCTCTGACCAGGCATCCAGGGCTCCAGAAAGAGCAGCATCCAGACCCCCACAGCTGCCCTGCCCCACTGTGCACTGTGACCTCTCCAGCAGGCTCCATGCGGCATGGACCCTGGCTGCATCCACATTGACCTACCAGGGCCCAGAACTTCAGATGTCTGCACACTGAGCCCAATCAGGGCTGCTGCCTGAGCGTCCCCAGGAGTGGGGAACCTCGGGGACACGTGCTGAGACCAAGGCTGGGGACAGGGGATCAGGGGCTTGGGAGCAGCAGGGTAGGGAGGAGGACAGATACCCTTGCTGAGTTCCCCTGGGCTGTGACTTCTTGGGACAGCACTGCCACCTCTGCCTAGGGCAGCAGGAGCAGAGGGACTCAGGCTGTCCTGAGAAGGAGCTGGAAATTGGCTTCAGGGTTGGTCCCTGGGGCCACACAGGAATCTGGTTGTCACAGGGTAAGGGGACGGAGCCTGGCTCAGCTTGGGCTGAAATGATTAAGATCAGGAAGAAGCATCTGTTGTCCAGGACATACATAAATGCAACTACTTCCTGTACACTTCTGCATCCTGTCCTCCTCCTCCTCCTCCTTTTTTTTAATATGAAACTTTGTTTTAATGCATGTATAAATTCTATAACAGATTTTTGGCCAAGTTGTTTCTGTTCACAAGTATTGATTGTAAAAACTAATAATTTAAAACTGCCTGAAACACCCAAAGAACCAATGGTCCATGAAGCATTCTTTCCTTCTGCAGGCTTTCTCATCATTAACCAGTCTTTCACCATTACCCTTAAATGGCCAATAGGAGAAACAGCTCTGAGACCCGGATTCAGCCTCTGGTTAAGCCTGGGGTGGCAGGGCCTAGGGATAATACGCCTATAGCTTTGAGAGTTTTCTGGCAGACTTGGTGACTGGCCCAGCTCCCCAGCCTCCTGTCCATGGTTTCATGCCACCCACATGTACTTCCTATGAGCACAACACACTGATCAGTTATGAACTACACCTGCAAAGAATTTCTATTAAACAGTGACAAAGAATCAATCCTCCCTTGCACCCAGGAGGCAACAGGCTGTGCCTGAGGGCTGCTGTCAGGAAGAAACAGAGGTAGCATGAAGTTCTAGGGAGAGCCCACCCTGCACAGTGAGCTCAGAACAGAGCTGCACAATGCCCTGCTGGTGCTGCCAGTCTTTCTGCAGCTGCCCTGCTTGGCCTCTTATCTCTGAGTTCTCAGAACATGGAATTAAGTCTTTATCTACCAGAGAGAACATTTAAAGAGGAAGGAGGAAACAAAATACGAAGACTGGGTAAGGAGACTCAGGCTGAAATGCAATAAAACCAAGTAATACAAGTATAACTCAATGGGGAGGAAGTACCTTCTTCAGGGTTTCAGCAAGAGGGGACATCATGGCTCCTCTAATTTTCAGCCAACCCTGCTGCTCTGACCAGGCATCCAGGGCTCCAGAAAGAGCAGCATCCAGACCCCCACAGCTGTCCTGCCCCACTGTGCACTGTGACCTCTCCAGCAGGCTCCATGCGGCATGGACCCTGGCTGCATCCACATTGACCTACCAGGGCCCAGAACTTCAGATGTCTGCACACTGAGCCCAATCAGGGCTGCTGCCTGAGCGTCCCCAGGAGTGGGGAACCTCGGGGACACGTGCTGAGACCAAGGCTGGGGACAGGGGATCAGGGGCTTGGGAGCAGCAGGGTAGGGAGGAGGACAGATACCCTTGCTGAGTTCCCCTGGGCTGTGACTTCTTGGGACAGCCCTGCCACCTCTGCCTAGGGCAGCAGGAGCAGAGGGACTCAGGCTGTCCTGAGAAGGAGCTGGAAATTGGCTTC